AACCCTAAACCCCAAACCCTAAATCCTAAACCCCAAGCCCCATTAAATGCTAGGTATTCAGGGAAGGGTCTATACTGGAGCTCACGTTTTAAACCTTGGATCCAGGGGGGTATACGGTTTAACTAGGGTTTAGGGTTCAGGGTTTAGGGTTTAGGGTTCAGTTTAAGGCGGAGGGTCCGCGGAGCTTAGATCTTAGAGGGGGGGCTTCTGTAGAGTTTTGAGTATCGACTTTGTTTGTTCTTGGGGTCGACAAGGCTTTAGTGTCTGGAGGCTGGGATTTGGGCTTTGGGGCTACCCTGAACCCCTAAACCCTACAGCTTTTGGCTTGAGGCCGCAAGGCTGGGGGTGGGAACCTTAAACCCTAAACCCCTAGACTCAAACCCTAAAACCCTGAAGCCCTAAATCCTAAAACCTGAACCGTAAACCCTAAAACCCTATAACCAAAAAACAACCCTAAACACTCTAAATCCTAAACCCTCAAGACCATAGAAACTCTGAAATCCTCAAACCCTAAAACGGTTACGAGCCTTAGGGTTTCGGGGTTTAGGGTCTGGGGTTTTAAGGGTTTTAGGCTTCAAGGGTCTTAGGGTGAAGGATTTTGGGGTTTAAGGTTCCAGGGTTTAGGTAGCCGTATTACCACACACGAGCAGTATGAATATTGGTACTTGCGACCCGCAAGCGTCTCGGAAAGCAATCAGTTTGCAGGAGCAACTTGGTTTAGGGTTTAGGGTACTTGCGAGGGGCTAGAAATTAATTCCATGCTCATAAACGCCAAGCCATCCAAGTTGCGGAGCCCTACATGAGCTGTAGTCTACACTCCTTCAAAGGGTTATACAACCCTAAACCCTAACCCTAAATCCTCAACCCCAGCCACCAGAGCACTGAGCCTGGCGGCTCCGCCCTGGATTCCCTGCGCTTCGTCTATGGCCTCAACGCCAATTACCGTGGTGAAGTTTTGGTCAGAAAGTTGGTGGCTGCCGTCGACTCGTTCGAAAGACAATACTTGGAGGCTCATGGGGCTTAGTAACCACTTATAACTGGGATTATAACCCTACTTATAGCTGGGGTAACCCCTATAAGCCCATTTAGGGGGATTATACTTAGGGTTATAAACCCAGTTATAAGTAGGTACTAAGTCCCATGGGCCTCCAAGTAGTAGCCGATGGATCGCTTCCGAAGATTTTCCGGAACATACGCGTCGAACTCGTTGGGCCCCCTGTGGGTGTAAGGCACAGTACCTCCTTAGTAGGAGAAAGCAGACTCGAAGCCACCTCGACGGAGGCAGCCTATCAAGAGCCGCGCTTCTTCGAACATCGACAAGTGGGTGGTTGTCAAAATTATGGTCTTTTAGATTCCCATTAGAATATGGCACCTAATATTTAGGGTACCCAAAAAGGGACCATAATTTTGACAACCACCCAAGTCCCGAAGCTCGGAATCGTCCACCGCCTTCAAGCTGAAAAGAACACAAGCTGCACGCAAACGAAGCTTCGGACAAGGATAAAACTCGCTGGAGTCCCAACGTTGTATGTACGGGGGGATATAAGGAGTTTAGACTGTAGCTCACATGAGAAACAACATGGTAGCTTCCAATAATAGGGGGACCCCAATATAGACCCCAAAATACTGAGGTACTTATTATGGGGACCCCCAGAAAGGTACCTTTAATTTTTGGAAACCTCCACATCTTGAACCTCTCTCCAGAAATTCCGATCTCAGCTGGTTCTTAGGATTATGAACCCTAAGAGCAAGGCCCTGAACAGCCGAAATACCCTCAGTTTTTTAAGGAACTCTAAGCCCTGGAGCCCTAAAGCCTAGACCCAAAACCCTGAAACCCTAAACCATGTGAGCAATGTTTTTTTTGGTGGTTGAACCCAGTAAGATAATATTCCTTATATACTATACCCAAAAGGAAGTTAAAATCTTACTCTATATTGGGTACCCTAGTATCCCCAAATAACCATGTGCTGAGCCAGGCAGCAAAGACTGGACAACCTCCGAGTGCCCGAAAAGGGATGCCGACCACAGCGGTGTAATGTTGCTCACGTCCGCTGTATCCTCCGGTTTAGATTTGGGCTTTACAGTTACAGGGTTAGGGTTAAGGGTTTTAGGGTTTAGGGCTACAGGGTTTAGGGTTGAAGGGTTCAGGGTTAAAGGGTTTAGGGTTTGAGGGCTAGGGGGTTTAGGGTTAAAGGGCTCAGGAGGGCTCAGGGCTAAAGGGTTTAGGATTCAAGGGGCCACGGCTGGAATCACTCTCCAATCTGCCAAGCTGCTAAAGGGTTTAACCCAAACCCCTGATTAATAGACCCCCTCCCCTGAATAGGGATTATAATAGGGATCCTAATTTTCAGGCCCTGGGGGGTTATGAATCATGGGTCTACGTTAGGGAGAAGGCCTGAGGGACCCAGGTTGCACAGGCGGTTTAGGGTTTTGGGTTATGGGTTTTAGGGTTTAGGGTTTGGGATTTAAGGTTTAGGATTTAGGGTTTAGGGTTTTAGGGGGGTTTCGGGTTTAAGGTTTCGGGTTTAGGGTTTTATCCCAACAATGGAGCAGCAAATGCAAGAGAAACTGGAAGCGTGAGGGCTTGACAGATGTGTAGGTATTTAATGAGGTAGGTATTTTGAACGACTATAGGATAATTCCTTGTCATAATCCTGAGTCTAAACACTAAAACCTAGATGCTAAACCCCAAACCTCAATCCCTAAACGAGGAGGCCGTGGGTGTTGCCGTGCCTCGCCCTTCACTTTTCCGTCAAAATCGGGGACCTTAAGGGACTCGAGGGATTTAGGGTTTAGGGTTCAGGGTTTAGGGTTTGGGCTTCAGTTGTGGAATTTCAGGTTTAATGTTGAGTGCTCTTAGGGGTTGGATCCCAGGGTGCTTGTAAGAGTTTAGCGCAACATTTGGTTCACAATCCCCTTCTAAGAATCTATAGGGTGTGGAGACGCTTCAAAACTTCCCCGATAGTAATCGCATTAAAAGTTCGGAGGCATATACCCCCAGCCCTAAACCCTAAACCGCCCCCTTTTCAGCTCCCTGCGAAACCATAATCCCTCATGAACATGGGTCCGAGGCAGCAAGATCCTCCGATCCATACAACCAATTCCAAAACTAACTCGCTACACTTCGGTTTAGGGTTTAGATGTTTAGGTTTGAAAGGCTTGGGTATAGGAGTTCAAGGTTTAGGGGTTTAGGATTTATGGCTCAGGTCTTAGGGGTATAGGTTTTAGGGGTTCAGGGTTTAGGCTTTAGTGCCAATTCGAAAACAGACCCGCTGCACTGTAGCGACTACAGTCGGCCTGCCAGTCGAATCTTGAATCCATCAGAAAACTTCTTAAGACCTCACAGAGCCCTAAGCCCCAACCCTACATCCTTAGACCCTGAATCGATAGCTTATACCCTTGAACCCTAAATCCATTAGCCCTAATAGCTTATACCCTTTGACCCTCAAGCCCTGAACCCCCAACCCTCTAGACCCCCAAAACCCCAAACCTCTAGACCCTGACACCCCAAACCCCCAAGCCCTAAACTTTAATCCCTAAACCCTAAACCCTAATCCCTAAACCCTAAACCCTAATCCCTAAACCCTAAACCCTAAAGCTCTAAACCCTAAACCTTAA